AGCCACCTCATTCTTTTAGAAAGGTTGTATATTATTTCCCAGTAAAATATAACATAATTTATTTAACTATTTTCCTATTAATTGACATTTTTTTCAAATTTCCCAGTATACTATATAATGCTGCAGTGATTGTCCTTGAAAAATGTCTTATTGTGGCTGAGTATTTCTGAGAAAGTCCTAGAATTGATATGTCCAAGTTAAAGCATACACATTTTTGTAGTATCTGATAAATTATTCTTCCCAAAGATAGTTTATGCCTATCAACTGCATATGAGTGCCCATTTTCCCACATTTTTGCCAACATAGTTGTTTGCAGTCTTTCTCATTTTCACTTAATATGACTACTGGGTGATAAATGGTGATTGCTCCCATTTCTAGTGATATTATCCACCTTTGTAAATTGACTATATATTTTGCTTATTTTTTCATATTATTAAAAATATTAAAATATATTATTAAAATTACTATATTTTAATATAATTATATATTTATATTTATTTCTATATAAATTTATATATATTTATATGTTACATTTAATATATTATTAAAATATTAAAATATTATTCCTATTTTTTGGTACTGATTTGTAGGATGGCCTCTATTTTTGAAGGACCAAATTAATATTTGGAATTCTATCTCTAAAAGTGTTAATGCAAGTATTAGATGTTTGATAAAAAAAACAGTGTGAATCTAGTATTTGAAAAGATTTTACAGGTAATTCATTTTGAGAAGTAATCTTGGAAAGGTATTTTCTAAACTGTTATAGTTGTGGTGGTATTAAATTAGGAACTTTGATAAATCTCCGGTTTGTGCATGTTTTCTTGAACCATTTCACATTTTCATGCTTTTCTATGTATGTCACTAAAATAATGATTGTCACAATTGCTATTCTAATGTGGACAGCAGTTTTGAAGTAAATATGATGGACTTCAGGAAAAATGAAAAGAATGTAGATGAATCATGAAAATATTGAGAGAGCTTGCATTGAAACATGTAGATCAGTATTATTTTCTTATGTACTAGATAAAAATACCATTTAAAATGATGTTATACTTGAAAACAGTGGCTGTGTTCAGGGTACTGTCACTGGTATTGTTGATACAAAGATGAATAAAATAATCTTTATTGGTCATAATCTATCAGAAGAGAGAGACAAGATAGATTAGGTTCAGGTTATGCATCTTTGGTGGGAATATCATAGAAGTGAGGCTATGTTCTTCTGTTAAGATAGTAGCTACATTTGTGGTAAGTGAGCATAGCATAATGCCTGGAGAAGTTGAGCCACTGTGTTGTACACCTGAAGTGAAAGTAACATTGTATGTCAACTATAATCAAATAAATTAAGAAAAGGAGTGCACAGTTCTGATTTATCTTAATATTGATGGTGTTTACTTTCTTTGATCCTTAATTAAATTTCACAAAGTTCCTCTTTCCCCCTTTGTCATTAATAATTATTTTGAGGGGAGCTATTTTGAAGTGATATGAGAATCCTGTTGCTTATCAAAATTTAATTGATTATATTGGTAGGGACTCATAGATTCTTTTTATTAAATGGGTTGTAATCTATTACTAGTATTTATTTTGATGCTTAAATTGCCCCAGATTTTGCCACTGGGAGCCTCTTCAAGCTCGTTTCTGTGTCCTTTTGACATGTTCCCATCATTCAGGTATTTCTTTACCTTCTGGAAAACACAAGCTCGTCTTGACTTTCCTTGCCCTATTTGTGGAATCAGCCATTTCTTCAAGGAGCCCTGTTTCCTCTTGATAGAAAATAGTTTTTTAGAAGCAAAGTTCTCTGTTCATTTTAATTATGGTGCTGCTCCCAGACCGTTTAATGAGCACATGTATATACATACATACTCATGTTTGTAGCCACATTTATTTCTATATCCTCCTATATTGAAAACTATAACTCCAGTTCGTATCAAACACCATTGGATTAATTCTAATATTCTTCATTTATATATCCTCCAACAGTGAGAAAACTGGCTTCTATTATCCTTAATATATTTACTTAATTTATCCCCTCCCCCATACCCTGCAAGGGCTGTTTCCTAGGAGTGTGTCGTCCTTATCTTGCTCCCACATCAACACACTACTCCAGATTGCCCTTCTGCATGGAAGCGCTATTTATTTCTTTGGGGTCTGATGCTTTTCTCTTGGGTTCTAATGCCCTGCATCTGGCAACCTGCCTGCTCAGGCTCCAACACCTTAAGCTGGTCTCTTTCTTCAGCTTCCTCTCCCAACCATTGATACTGTCTTCCTTCCACTCAGACTCTAGCACTCTGTGCCTGACCTCTTCCCTACAAGTATGGTCTCCTCATCCTGCTATGGTTTTGATGTCCTCAAAAACTGACACTGTTTCACTAGCCTCTTTATCACACAATTAGATACTTAATATTATTGGGCTCTGACATCCCCCTATGCCACTGAGACTCCTATCCATCTTTTCCCCAAATGCAGATGCCTACCTTACTGTGCTTTACCTTACGGATTTTAGACTGAACCATTGAGGGAAAGAAAACAACCAATTTGTTAATCCATCAATTGCTCCATGAAGAATATGCAGTAGAGACCTCTCCATTAAGGAATTCGTGGTGTACCATGTAAACAGTGTGGTTAAGCATGCAGCCCCACTTCAATCTGGGTTCTCTGTATCCATGTGGCTTTGACTTATTTCCTTGTCATCAGAATGTCTGCTTCTTACCCAGGGCTTTTATTAAGTCTTAGTCTTTACTTCAATACTTACTCAATGTGTTATTTTGAGCCTTTATCTGTTGATTTCTCTTAAAGCTTTTGCATTAACTAATAACTGGAAAAGCTTTGATTAAATCTGTGTGATACTGCCATTTTCTGTCTTTGTAACCTGAACACCCTCTTTCTCATTCTCCTTGGCTGTGGGTTGTTATAGTAGTTGGTGGTAGAGATTTTGGATGAGATATTTAGATCCTCTTGGTAGATAGATCACTCTCCCTTGGATTTGATTCAAAACAGATCACCTTTTTATATTGAAACCTGAATGCCAGGATACATCCCTTATGAAACATCCCCAGGAGTTAGTAGGTGATCTTTTCATCAGAAGTGGTGTGGTGATGTATTATAAAATCGTAACAGTAAATATGAAATAGGCACAGATGTTACTTTGTAACATATAAGCTATTAATTTTAGTTTTGAATATAAGCCTTTCCAGTGTTTTCTTCCTCTTAAAATTTGTATTTTTTTTTTTTTTAGTTTAAAGCAAAACAGGAAGAAGGAAAGAGAAGTTCATGTTGTAAAGTTAACCCCCAAATTTTAAGTTGCCAGTTGATAGATTTTTCAAAGCTTTGAACAGCATGAGAACACCTTTTTCTAGTTTTGAGATATAAATGACAAATATTATATCAAGGTGTATGACCTGATTGATATGAATATATATTGCAAAATGATTACCATAGTAACCACCATCACCTCACATACTTACAACTTTTTTTTATCTTGTGATAAGAACTTTTAAGATCTATTCTCTTAGCAACTTTCAAATATATAATACAGTATTGTTAACTATAGTCACCATGATGTACATTGTATCTCCAGAAGTTACAGCTGGAAGTTTGTACTTTTTTTACCACCTTCACTCATTTTCCCTACCTCCCTACCTGGGGTCACTACTAAGCTGTTACACACTGTGAGAACATTTTTTACTCGTTTTCTAAAGTGTAAGAAAAAAAAGTTTATTGAAAAATGAAAACATTTGAAAATTGTTTTCTAGTTCTTTTACCCTTAGGTTTCCCTATCACTAATAAACCTTTTGTTGTTGAGCTTTTTTTTTTTAAAAGAGATGTTTAACTTGCCTCTGAATTGCTAACATTTCAACAATTTAGAAATATGAAATATTGTAATCTGGCAATGTTGTCTAACCCAGTTTTTAAACTTGTTTTGTGATCTCTGAAGATAGGACTCTGGTGAGTAAATAGGGAACATTTTTAGGAAGTTGACAAGTCAGCTGTACTGAATTTCAACTAGAAAGTTGTCCTTACTTATTCTTCCTGTTTTAAAATCTGTTTTTCTTGTTTTCTATAAAATCACCTATGCTATTTGGCCTTAAATAATCATTAACGATGTCCTCTCTTTGTGATTAAGGCTAGTTTTTGTCGTTGTTGTTGTTGTTATTTTGTTTTGTATTGTTTTTACCTTTTTCCTGATTTATCACGATAATTTTGTGATAGTTAATTTTGTATTAACATGAGGGATAATTTTTAACAGAGGGATACTTTTCTTGTTTCTTTGATCATAAAATAAGAACTTTAATTCCTTTTTACTCATTTTCAGTTCATCTAACTCTCAATACATCTAAATATTCATATTTGTCCTGCTGAAATGCATACACACACACACACACACACACACACACACACACACACACACACACATTCTTCACATGTCTGGTCACAGTTTGACATGTAATTTTTGTAATTCATCCTGAGCATCTGATAGGAATAGATCTGCTTCCTGACCAAACTCTACTCAGAGTGAATCCAAAGTAGGAAGATTGTTTCCCCATGAAACAATGGGAAATACAGAGCTGATGGAAGTTAAGAGGCATTAATATAAGTTAATATATAAATACATTTAGTGTCAGCTTTTGAGACAAGTGTAGATGAATTTGTCTAATGTAGATCATTAATACTTCTTATTGTTGAGATAAATATCTTTAGATTTAGTAATTGTGTACCTCATATTTGGAGTATGGTAACTGAACCCAAGTCTCTGCTTATTCTTAGAGTGGTGAAATTAGGACACTAAAAATGTGATAACGTTGTCTTACATTTTATATAGAAATGTGGATGTGCTTTGTTGCTGTTTGTTGTATATTTTTCATTCTTACTGAAGGAACTGGAACGGGGTTTAATGAATTTTCACTTTTATTAAATTCATCTTTTTTCCCCTTCACATAATTTCCATTTCAGTTTAATAAATCTCTGATTCTAAAGCTAACTTTTGAATTCTTAGGTCTTTAGATGCTGCTCTGGAAAAACTTTAGTAATGGATCAAAGGAAGAATGAGAGTATTGTCCCTAGTATTACTCAATTAGAAGATTTTCTTACAGAACACAACTCCAATGTTGTTTGGCTCCTTGTTGGTAAGTAGAATATATTTTCTTATACTTTGTTTATCATGTATGGATTAACAACTGCCAAATTTTAAGCTATAGTTAGCTGAAGTTGAAATGCTTACAATACCATTGGTATATTTTTTAAATATTTAAAAATTTAAAATAAGGTTTTAATCTATGTTTCTGTGAATATTTGCTCTGGCAAATGTTCTGGAGGGCTGTTTTTCTTAGGCTGCCTCGTCTGACTTAGGGGAAGTGGGAGGAGAAGAAAGACATTGCACTTAGCTTATCTTTCCTGTCTCAAGCGCACTCCTTCACTGCCCCCCATCTCAACACACACACGCGCGTTCACGTGCACACACACACACACACATTTGTTTTATTTTAAAAGTGATAAATCCCCATTTATATGATAAATATATTTTATAGCAAAATAGAGTGTATATGCCCAATTAATGTCATCTCTTTACTCGCTCCTTATAAACTTGACTTTGGGCTCTGCCAGTAAAAATTTCTTTTTGTCTAATATTCCAGCAGTTTTCTAGGCTCATAGAAATAATACAAAACAGTGTATAAATCAGTGGCCAAAAAGAAGGGGGAGATATGAGTGAATAAATGAATGTGAACAAATAATGGGGGAAATACAAAATACTAATCAAGAAAGGGAGAGGGGCACCTGGGTGGCTCAGTCATTAAGCATCTGCCTTTGGCTCGAGTCATGATCCTAGAGTTCTGAGATCAAGCCCTACATCTGGCTCCCCACTCAGTAGGAAGCCTGCGTCTCCCTGTCCCATTCCCCCTGCTTATATTCCCTCTTTGCTGTGTCCTTGTCTGTCAAATAAATAAGTAAAAAAAAAAAAAAAAAAAAATCTTAAAAATAAATAAATAAGTAAGAAGGGATAGAACACTGTAGGCTGTTATTGTCCAGGAAGTTTTTGTGGAAGAACAGCATTTGATTTGAATTTCAGCATAACAATTAGAAAGGTAGAGGGGGAAATAGGGTAAGATGAGGTAAGAGGGGAAAGAGAGGGTAATGGTATTTATTAAACATCTTGTGTGTGCCACATATCATTAGCATTTTGCATATGCTGTCTCACTTAATGCTCAGAGAAAACTTATAAAGGCAGCAGACTTAACTTGTGGATTGAATTAAATAACTTATACAGGTAACATAGCTGTTTTTTTGAGTGCATGCTTATGCTTCTTTTATGACACCACAGGATATGTGGTAAGGAAATGGGTAGAGATCAAGTGTGTATAGAAGGAATTATTATTGTTGATGATTTGTACATAGGATTGGATTACCATTTAAACTTTTAGTTCTATTTTCTCTATTTGACAGAAGTGAGCTATTATAAATTATCACTAATTAAAGCCAAAAAAAGTAAGATGAAATGCAAAACATTAATATGAAATAGAATTGCATAAAAGCAATGTTGAAAATTCTCTTTTGGTTTAATTAATGGTGGAATTCTTCCTCTTTTCCTATCAGTCTCTTATCACCTAGAATTTATGACTTTTTTCTGTTGTATACAACTCCTTTCCTTAAGGACGAAACAACAGCAACGACCAGAAAAACACTGAGTGAGTGTTTTTACTCTTGCTGTTCCAATAAGTGGCCTTATGACATTGAAGGGGGTTGGAAAACATGATGCAGTGTAAAAGCCACAATTCTCAGGTTGTGTAATACCAGAAGCATACTTTCTAGGCAAATACCTCTTGCCTTTCTGGTTGGCCCACCATAACCTGCTTTTGACACCATGATTTACAATAAAAATTAGCACAAAATGCTTGTAAATTTAAAACGTAATGACATATTAAAATCACTATGTTGTATACGTGAAACTAATGTAACATTGTGTGTCAACTTTCCTTCAGTAAAAAAAACCCATAACACTTTTTACAAAGAAAAAAATAGTGACATATCATCAAATAACTTTTCAATAGAATTGTTCTAAAAATAATTTTTGTGGGCAAATCATAGCAGTTGCTACATCAGAGTTATTACTGTTAGTCTAAGCTACCCTGAGAAAATGTATTTTGACTCAGTGACTGTTTTGTTTTATCCACATTAAATAACTTTTTGAAAAAGTTCAGAACTTAATGTGATATTGCTAAGTGATTGTACATGTTAAATTGCTTTGCATTACTTTGTCTTAATTTAGAAAATAGTTATACTTTTAAAATAGTTAAGTAAAGGGAAAGTTATTATCAAAAAATGCTTTATTATGTTTTATTTTTTGTATATTCATGAACTAAGTTCTTTTGGAAATAGTCCAAATTCTATAGGTGCTGATACACTTCTCACGAAAAATGAGTCAAATTTGAAATATCATTTTCTGTAGCATATTCACTGGCATTCTTTAAAAGTAGGTTATTGTCTTATGAATTATAATAAAATAGCATAAAATGGCCTGTTTAATATAGATACGCCTTTAAGTAGGGTAAAATTCTCACTTCTTTCCATTTTTTTAAAAAAGCAGAAATTACTGATTTAAAAAAAAAACACTACCTTTTCTCTGATTTAAGAAATCATTGATTTTCTTTCTTTTTATTTTATTTTATTTTTTTAAAAGATTTTATTTATTTATTTTTTTAACAGACAGAGACCACAAGTAGGCAGAGAGGCAGGCAAAGAGAGAGAGAGAGGAGAGAAGCAGGTCCCCTGCTGAGCAGAGAGCCTCAACGTGGTGCTTGATCCCAGGACCCTGAGATCATGACCCGAGCCGAAGGCAGAGGCTTTAACTCACTGAGCCACCCAGGCGCCCCAATTTTCTTCCTTTTTAAATGACTATAACTTTTAGGAGATAGTATGGGAATGAGCTTTTAGTCTGATAAAGGTGGATGTTTTTTAGAATATTCAGAAATATAGGCTTTCTCTTTTCAGAACATCTTCATATATGCTTGCTTATTTATTTATTTATTTATTTATTTATTTATAATATTTTATTTATTTATTTGACAGAGACACAGTGAGAGAGGGAGCACAAGCAGGGGGTAGTGGGAGAGGGAGAAACAGGCTTCCCCCAACAAGGGAGCCTGCTTCGGGGCTGAATGCGGGGCTGGATATGGGGCTGTATGAGGGGCTCAATCCCAGGATTCTGGGATCATGATCTGAGCCAAAGGCAGATGTTTAATGACTGAGCCACCCAGGTGCCCCTATCTGTGTTTAATAATAAAGAGTACAAAACAATGAAAAGGGAAACAAAACAGGAAGTATTTCTTTCTTTTTTTTTAAGAGAGAGAATGCTTGCATGTGAAAATCAGGGTGGGAGGCTCGGGAGGAGGGGCAGAGCTGCAGGGGGAGAGAGAATCTTAAGCAGGCTGCAGTGCCTAGCATGGATCCTGAAGTGGGGCTCCATCAGACAAGCCCTGAGATCACGACATGAGCCTAAATCAAGAGGCAGACGCTTAACCGACTGAGCCACCAAGTCGTCCCAGGCAGTTTTTCTTTAATTGATCTTACTGGAATATATGCTTTTCTGGCTAATGAGTAGAGAAAAATGAGGAAACTTGGATAACGCAGAATCAACATTTGGTATTAAAAATCCAAGTATTAAATTGTAAAAGGACATATTATCATGTATAAGTAAACCCTGTCATTTCTGATTGTAATAAATGAACTTTTACTAACAAACTTTTACTGAGATATTAAAGTGATTGTAAAGGAAACTTATAGTGAGATTCTTTTGCATTTTTTTCTCTCCCAACAGCTACCATTTTATCCTGTGGATGGATTATTTATCTCACATATTACAATTCTCGAAATGTTGGTCTTATTTTAACATTGGTTCTTAATAGATTATACAAGCATGGCTATATCCATATTGGTAAGTTTGAGTAACAGTGAATGTTTTTCTTCTGCATAATCTTGAGATATATATTATAAATTTATATTTTATAAATGATAGTAGCTTTATAAATTTACCTTTGTGTCATGAACATTAACCTACCTGGAATTTCTCTCACACAGTACTCTCTGACTTTATCACTTGTTTAGGTTCTTTACCTCATTCTTATTTATTAAAGTATTTCTATAGTAACTTTTGGATTTTTTTTCATATAAAAGATGCTTGTTAAAACAATTTGAAAAATATAGGCACATATAAAATATGGAAATAGAAATTTCTCAGGATTCTACTAACCAAAGAAAGTTTCTAGTGTTCAGTGAGGTTTTTTGCTGGTTTTTTTTGTTTGTTTTGTTTTTAGTAAACTGTACTTAAAAAATCTATAAGTTGGAATCATTTTGTGCATTTCATTTTGTGCCCTGAGTTGTTCATTTAAGCTTCCAACTACTCATAATTAGGAAATTTGCAGGTTTGAGGGTCTATTTGGAACAAATATGCTTTAAAAAGCCTTCAACCAGTGGGAAAAGGGGTGAGAGGTCACTGTCTAGAACCATTCTAACCTTCCTTAGAATACTTCTTAGAGGATATAAATAAAATTTCTCTCTAACAGAAGTCATCTTCCACTAATTAGAGGCAATGCCTGTTTCCTGGAGTCAAAGAAATTAATGGAAAAAAGTGGTGAATTAGTCACTGCTTTGGGGTTTATTTAAAGTTGTGCATAATTAAGGGAATTATTCATTGAAGCAGCTATTCACTGTCTTCATATGGTTATTTAGTAACTCAGTTCATAGTGATGATACTTGTACTTTTTGTTATACTTGACGAAAGAGCAATAGAAAAGGCTGTAAGGGTATCAGGAGGGAGTTAGGAGAGAACATTTAATTATTGAATAAATTGAATGCTAAGATTATTTTAAGCTTTAGTGCTCACCCTGGATCAAAACAATTCCATTAATCACTTTTTTTTACCCCCACAACAGGGTCCTTCTCTTTCTCTGTTCTTTCTGGAAAAGTCATGGTTCGTGAAATTTATTACATTACAGAAGACATGTCTATTAGGTAAAAAAAAAAAAAAAACAAAAAACCAAAAAAGAAAAACTCTTCTTAAACTTGAAATATCGTAAAATGTTTTTCTCATGATATTTTATTTAATATGATTTGCTTTTTCATTTAAAAACATAAATCACAAATAATTTTTTTTGTAAATCATATCTGGTGAATTGATGTTTAAAAATATTTTTATCAGTAGATTAGCTAAGGTTTAGACTGGCACAAAGTTTATCAATTAGCAATTTAAAGAAATGAATGATTTCATTTCATTCCTAGATGAACACTTGATCCATTAAATTATCTGACCATTTTTCTTGTAGAATTCATGGTGGTCATTTGTTACAAAAAAAAAGATCAGGGATGCTGATAACTCATCCATTAGCTCCTTTTAGGTAATAAGTTTTAAGAATTGCTTAGATCTCTTAGCTCCTCTAATTTTCATGTAAGGAGGAAACACAAATCTGAATATAGGAAATGACAGTATGTTTGGTATGTTCTTTCTTCTGTAGGCCTTGAAAGAAAAGCTTACTCTATTTTTGTGATTATCTTAACATTTGTTACTTAGAACTTGAAAGTTTTAAATGAGTTGAGAGGTGCTAGAGTTTGGCAATACTCATACCTCACTTGAAACAGTGGAGGCATTTTCTTTGTGAGTCTAAAATTATTTTGAAAAGAAAAGTGAAAAGGTTGAGAGGCTATAAGTTCATCTTTTTGAGGCATGAGGTTATATATGATTACAGAGATGAAAGATTATCATTAAAAGTTTTTGTTAGCATCCTAATGTCCCCCTTTTAAGATTTGGCTTTTTGTTTATATAGTTTTTACACCATTTAAAAAGTATCATTTATAAAAGAAAAAAATTTTCTGTTAGCACTTTATTTTCCTATTACATGTGATCTGGTATTAAATTTTACCTAAATAATCTAATTTAGAGCTGTGTAAATTCTCTTTTCCTTTTTTAACTGGAGATTATGAAGCATTTATGTATACCAGTGATCTCTTGAAAATTTTCGATATTTACATATTCATTATCAGTTACCTGTTTTTTATAATAATTAATTAAATGAGTAAATTGTTACTGAAGTTTTCATTTTTGTAATTTATCTTGCATAGAATTCAAGATGGATTTATAATTTTTCGGTGGTGGAAAATGTATAATCCAAAGCAGAAACAACATGGTGAGTTTTCATGTTTTTATGTGTTTGAAGTCTTTAATTATATGATCACTGTTTTCCTTTATGGACATTAAAATATTTCACATTTTATAACAGATAAAAATATTTTTAAAAACTTTAACATTTATAAACTGATATTCTCACCAGTTGGCTGAAAATTCTTCAGCAGCTTTCCTCTTGCCTGCTTAAATTTATTGACTTAAGCATATTATTTATTCAGGGTTATCCTCAGTATGATGCTTACCCCCATCATCTTACCTCCTATTACATCTATGGACCTTAACCCATTCTGTGGTTAAAATGGATTTCTGGTAGTGTTTAATCATCAATTAAGACGCTTTTCTTACTTTTCAGCTTCTATGCCTTTATTCATAGTCCAGCCTGACACTGCTACTAATTCTCACTTATCTGCCATGTTAAGGATGAATAGAAAAGAGGAAATTAAGGTTCTAGATTCTAACAGTTCTGCTTTTATCATCAGAATTTTATCACCTTAGGATTTTCTCCCAAAGTCTTCATTTCACAGCTCTATATGTGTGCTCCTGTGCCTCTAACCCTCCTACTCGACATTAATCATACCAGTGACTTTGAGGAATGTAGATCTTGACTTTACTGCCTGGAATAGTGATTCTCAAACTTTTCGGTCTCAGGAACTGTACATTCTTCTAAATTACTGATGACCCCAAAGAGCTTTTATTTATGTAATTTATACTGATATGTACTGCATTCAAAATTAAGCCTGGGGGGGCACCTAGGTGGCTCAGTGGGTTGAGGCCTCTGCCTTTGGCTCAGGTCATGATCCCAGGGTCCTGGGATCCATCCCCTCATTGGGCTCTCTGCTCAGCAGGGAGTCTGCTTCCCTTCCTCTCTCTGCCTGCCTCTCTGTCTACTTGTAATCTCTGTCAAATAAGTAATAAATAAAATCTTAAAAAAAATAAATTAAGCCTGGGTACACCTGGGCAGCTCAGTCTGACTCTTGATTTCAGCTGAGGTTATGGTCTCAGGGTTGTGAGACTGAGCCTGTGTTGGATTTTGTGCTAGGTGTGGAGCTTGCTTGGGATTCTCTCTCTCCTTTGCTCTTTGCCCCTCCCCCTGCTCACATTTACACATACAAACTCTCTTTCTAAAATAAATGAATAAAGTCTTTTAAAAAATTAAGCCTGATAACTACAGAAATATTTTTGATTTCATTAAAAATATCTATAATAAACCCATATGTATTAAAATAAATACCATACTTTATGAAAAATAACTTTTCTAAAGCAAAAAGAAAACCAAATAGTGAGAAGAGTGGCATTGTTTTATATTTTGCAAATCTTTTTACCATCTGGCTTAATAGAAGATAATTAGATTCTCACTTCTGCTTTAATGTTCATCTGTTGTGCCATGTATCTGAAGTGCATCTGAAGTGCCATATATCATAATGCCTTTTAAAAAAAAAAAACTCCACGGTCCACTCATGGGAGAATGATTGAGAAAAAGTTGAACATCTTCATGTAATAATACTATTAAAATAGTTTTGACCTTTGGTCCCTAAAACGGTTGTTGGGATCCTTGCAAAGATCCCGAGACCATACTTTGGTAACTACCGCTCTAGAAGGTTTTAGCTGGGTCCTTGGAGTGTAGTGTCAGAAGATGATGAGACCCTTCCACCTTTTCTTAGCTATTAGGACTGTCCGTATTTCTGGCACCCCACATTAGAATTCTGAAATGGTGGTTAGTGTCTGTAAAGCCTTGGAACTTTCCAATTAATTTTTTTTTTTTTTTTTGATGGGTTCACTTAGGAATCTTGCTGTCATTTATAACTTGCTTCTATGGGAAAATAGATTTAAAGTTCCAGAAAAGTTTTTAAACTTACCACAAGACTGAGCTAGCCTAAATTACTTTTGAATTCATTGTTCATTATTATTTAGTTTTTTTTAACTGTCATTTCTTTGCTGCTACATAGCTTTTCCCCCTTTAACATAATACATCATGTACTTTTCCTTGAAAAGACTGGCATAACTTGATGACAGTTTGGCATCTGTAGAATTAATGAAATCAGAATGACTAGAAAGAATGGGCAGATTTCATGTCTGGAAAAAGTTTTCTAAAAATTGGATTAGAGTTTATTAGATAATTTGAGTAGAAGTAAATTGATTTCGTATGATAAAAGTATTCTGTTTTTAGTGTGGAATATACTCTTTTTGGTCTGTCTTCAGTGATTCAGAATGTGTCTTAGTAAGTCTCTAGTCTGTGGTTTTAGAAAATTTGTTGTTCACACTTCCTTTTTACCTCTTTTTTAAAGCAATTACTATAAGGATTTTCACAAGAAAAGAAATGTTCTTTAGATAGTCAGTATGTTAGTGCACTGGAAATCTTTAAAGTTTTGACTTTTATCAAATATGAATATATTCAAAATTTTGAGTCACTTTCCTACAGTATTATCCATGTTAAATTGTGTAGAAACAATATTCCTGATTATTTTTGATATTTTATTTGCCTATAAACCTTAAAGGTGGAATTTAAGTAAAGATATTCTACTTGTACTTCAGAAATGGTTAGCATTCATTCCTAAGAGCCAAGTTCTTTTGAGTTCAGGCCCAGTTTTTGACACATTCACTTAACTTTGAACAGGTCCAGTATTTCTACCTCTGGTTTAGTTTGTAAAGTCTATTTAGTTTGTCCCTTAGAGATTTACTTTAGGACCGTATATTTTTGTTGCATGTCATGCTTCTGTTAATTTTGCAATGATGTGCTCTTTTGACTTAATCTCAGTTTAGTCTTTTTTCCCCACGTTTAGTTATCATAAGCTTTCTTGTTAATGAGTTGCAGCGGAGCTGAAACAAAAGTTCTCCTTGTTTATATTTTTAAAAATGCCTTTTTGTATATTTGTATATTTATATTAGAAATTCTATTCTAAATTTTTTTCAGTGTTTTAAGATGTTCTTGTGAACCAGTGAAACTATAGGGATATGAGTTGAGGAGGCCCATTTGACCTAACCTCCCCCACTCCATGCTCTTTACCCCAGGATTCCAAGGACTTACACAATTAGGAAACAACTGAATTTCTCAAAATTTCTTATCAGTTTGGAAACAACTAATGTTCTCAAAAATCCTCGATTTGCAGATGGAAAAACAGAAATTCCTATTACTAATAAATGTTAAAGCCAGAGTGAAAACCTAGGTCTGCTAACTTCCATCACTCCTTGTATTATAAAACAGGCTTGTCAAATATGGCCAAGTAGGTTCTTGGAAATTCTTATATATAAATACTGATGGCAGCTTATGGGAGGAATGAATATGATAATTTATAGAATCCAGAGGCAACTGCAAGTTTTAAGCCTAAGCCTAATGGGATTGCTCACTTTGGAATTTTCTTAGACATGTGGAATACCATTTTAAATTGTTTGTAGTTTTTTTTTCGAAGAAAATAATTACTTCATTTTATCATGAAATATTTTATCTCCTTAAAGTGGATTGCTTTTCAGCAAAATACATAGATGAGGTCAAGAGTAACTGATCCAAGGGTGCCTGGATGGCTCAGTCGAGTCTGAGCCCCACATTGGGCTCCCTGCCCAGTGAGGAGTCTGCTTCTCCCTCTGCCTCTCTCTCTGTCTCTCGTGAATAAATCTTAAAAACAAAAAGAGTAACTGACCCAAATCTGTCATGAAAAAGGTAGCTTTTAATAAAAATCTTTAGCTTATTTAACAGATACCTTATATTCACTTTACTGATCACTGATGATGGTAGGATTTCGTCAGGCAGAGGTGGAGTGTAATGTTAACATATTTCCATGTCTTAGCTTTCTTTGTAATTGCCCATGATGTGAAATAGAAATATAATTTTTGGATATTTTATGTCTTAATATTAAGAATATCTAAATTATTTTGTGTTGCTTTTTGTGTGCCAGTGCTTGCAATGGAAAAGATTATACCCCTCATTTTACAATGATGTTAAAAGTTGGTAGACTTTATTAGTTATCACATTTGCAATTCTAATTATTTGCACATAGTTTTCTATGTATTTTAACATTTAAATCTATGTATTCATCAAGAAGAGCACAGCTTTGGCAAGGGTCAAAGAAATTTGTCTTCCATGTGCTTTTAAAAGAAATTCTCTGTTACAGAGGATGACATTCTTAAGATGCTCACAGTTACAACTTTCCAAAGTAAAGACACGATGCCAAATAGCAATGCAGGAATAAGTGGTTTGGCCTAAATACATCATTAGTCTAGCATGATTCAGAGATAGAATTTGGAATGCAGGACATGGAAGAATGAATAGGCTGCAAACTAAGCTTTTGGTAAAAAGTTGGACAATATTATGGAATATATATTAAAATAGTGATTTACATTTACTAATGAGACCTTACAGTCTAGATATTATTTCTTATTGATTAAGGTCAGATCCTGATTGTGTACTTTCATAGTAAACTAAGCAAGAAGTGGAGATGGTTGACATTTCTTGTGAGAAAATTTGGAAGCCTAATTGGAGCATGTGCCTGAATAGACAATGGCCACTAGCCATCCAAAGAGATAGGCTAAGGTCTGGGTAAGGCTAAGATTTTCATGAGAAAGCTTTAGAACTATTTTATTAGGAGAAAAGAGGAGTGTTCAAGCGCTCAAATTCTGTGCCATTGAGCTTGGCTGGGATAATTTAATCCAGGAGTAGATTTAGAGTTGTCAATTGTTCAGTTTAATCCTTAAAAAAAAAAAAAAAAAAAGGAAAACATCTAATTTGTTTAACATAATTGTTGTAAAAAATTGTTGTAAAATATTCCCTAGGTCATGAAATTAATGATCTGCTGTAGATGATTGTTGGCCAAAGACCAATTAATGAGGATATCTATCAAAAACCCTTATTTTGGTTAGGATAGTTGATTTTAAGCCATTCTTTTGGAAAATAAGTAGCAGGACCAGTTACCTTTTAATATGTGATGATTCAGTGTTTAAATGAATACCAATCTAAGTAACTAGGCATGCATCTTTCTTATCTAGAGAAGTTCTTACATTGCTAAGAAG